AGTTGGCAAAAGAGATGGTAATAACGGCATTGGGGGAAAATCTGTTCTTATTTTAGTTTGGATCCAAGCATGACAAGAATAAAGTGATCGAGGGATCAACTTGGTCCTTCGACAAAAATCTATTGGTATTTAGGGATTACAATGGAGATCTACGTCCATATGAGTACACCCTTAAGGAAGCTACGTTTTGGATTAGGGTATATGGCCTTCCACTGAGAATGATGAATACTAGAGTGGCAGAGAAGATCGGGAACAATGTGGGGTTGTTAAAGGGCGTAGATAAGAGTATGACTTACTCCACTGGGGAGAGCTTCTTGAGTATGAAGGTAACTATTGACATCACAAAGCCCTTAAGAAGGTTGGTTTCGCTGACAAAGAAAGGAGGGAAGGATATTCGCGACAGACTGAAGTATGAGCGAATTCCAAACTTTTGCTGTACATGTGGAATGATGGGGCACACAGAGAATGAATGCGATTGTGAAAAGGATGAAGAAGGTAATGAAGAGAAGGGAAGACAGTATGGTGACTGGTTAAGAGCCCCTTCAGTAAGAACTGAAGGCATGACGAATTTTGGAGGGTTTCATAAGTACTCAAAAACTGGTAACATGGATGAGGGTAAATTGGAAAGAGGCCTAGTATAAGGTAGAATTATTGATGGCGTCCAATAGAGTGAATCAACACCAGTTTCACCAGAATGAGAGGTTTCTGATGTGAACTCAGGCAGGTAGAACCAGGGGAAAAAAGGAAAGAATGAAACTGCCATGACAAGCAAAAATAATGGGCGTGATAGGAGGGAAGAATGCAAGATTCTAGGGATAACAATTACCATAAATTGAACGAGACTTACAGGGTGCAAAAAGGAAAAGATGAATTTATAGAAGTTAAGAGAATGGAGAAAAATCTGCCACAAGGATTAATTTAAGGGGAATAATTGGAGGCGCAAATAAATGGAAGAACAACAAAGGCAAGAGGAAAGAATCTGCCAAAGCAGGGCACCATACATAGAAGGAGGGAACAGGTTTTAGTCCTTAATAATTCAAGTAATGACGTGGAAAGGTTGGGAGCGAGAATAGTAAAGGTTGAGATGGCAAAATAAAGGGTAATGGCAGGCATGCAAGCACAATCCAATACGAGGCAGAAGTGGAAGAGGAAGGCAGGTGAAATAAACAAAGAAAATGAGGTAGATAAAATAAATATTGGTAAGCAAAAGTCTGGGGACCAGAATAATGATTTAATGGATATTGACGCAAAAGGGAAGAAGAGTAAAGATACAGTCTTGGATGGAGTACAACAAAATCAAAGAACAGCGGAGATTTGAGTTCAGTCCCGCCGAGAGCAATGAGGTGCCTATCCTGGAACTGTCGTGGGTTTGGAAACCCATGTGCGATTCGAGCTCTTTGAGATCTGCTGAAGAGCAAAGACGCCGATACAGTGTTTTTATAAGAAACCAAGTTGCATGCAAGGAAAATTTATAGAATAAGGAGGAAAAGTGGATTTAGAGCATGTTTCGGAGTGGATGCAATAGGAAGTGGTGGTGGATTGGCAATGATGTGGAAGACTGATATATCTATGAAATTAATTTGTTATTTTTGAAACTATATAGATATGGAGGTCAATGATGATCAAAGAAAGGATACTTGGAGATTGATTTGCTTTTGTGGGGAACCGGACACTAGTAGGAGAGAAGAATCGTGGGCTCTATTAAGACATTTGGTAGGGCAATCAAACAAGCCGTGGATATGTACCGTGAAAGCAGGCAAACTTCTAAGGAGAGAGACGTAAATGGAAGCTTTTAGGAATGCATTAACGGACTGTGAACTAGAGGACCTGGGATATAGAGGCCGGTGGTACACGTGGGAGAGGGGCAATACAGAGGCAAATAATGTGAGGGAAAGGCTTGACATGGTGGTTGGCAATAAATAGTGGGTAGATTGGTTTCCAGATCATACGATTCAACATCTGGTGGCTTTAGTCTCAGATCATATCCCATCATGATATCAATCACGTTTAGTGTGCGGATGAAAAGGGATAAACGAAGAAATAAATGGTTTAAGTTCGAAGCACGTAGGATGAGAGAAGTGGAATGCGAAGAAATTGTAAAGGATGCATAGATGGTGGAAGCCTTAGATTCGGTGGAAGCAAAATTGGGACAAGTGGCACGTAAGCTAGGCAAGTGGCACAACATTACTTTCGCTTCCATGGGGGAAAGGTTGGAAAAGTTGAAAATTGAGTTTCATGAACTACAAAGTGGGCCAGCAAGTTATAATTCTTTACACGAAGGGCAATTACTAAAAGATGAAATAAACAAATGGCTAGAAAGAGAGGAGGTGTTTTGGATGCAATGATCAAGGATAAACTGGTTGACAGATGAGGATCAAAACATGGCATTTTTCGATGCTCAAGCAAAGCAAAGGAAAAAGAACAATACAATTTGGGGCATGGAGAGCTTGAATGGGGAGTGGTGTGAAGATGAGTTGGAGATTGAAAACATAGCCATGGATTACTTTAGATGCTTTTTTAACTCTAAAAAAACATCACTATTTGAAAATACCCTGCAGGCGATGGAGACTTGAGTATCAGATGAGATGAACAAACTCTTACTTGCAGAATTCAAAGCTGAGGCGATTCACCTGGCCTTCAAACACATGCACCTAACCTTTGGCATATTGTTGGTAATGATGTGACTCAATTATGTTTGTCTTACTTGAATGGTGATAGGGATTTCTCAAACATAAGCCATACCCATATTGTTCTAATCCCTAAGATCAAATACCCCACTAAAATCACATAATATAGGCCTATCAGTCTGTGCAATGTTATCTATAAAATCATTTCAAAAGTCGTTGTGAATAGGTTAAAGACCATCTTGCATGTTTGTATTAGTGAGGCCCAGAGTGTGTTTGTTCCTGGAAGGCTAATATCTGACAATATCTTAGTTGCATATGAGCTTGTACACACTTTGAAAACTAAAACAAAAGGTCAGACTGGTTTTTTGGCCTTGAAATTGGATATGAGTAAGGTTTACGACCGTGTTGAATGGAATTTTTTAGGTGCTATAATGAAGAAAATGGGTTTTCACCCTGACTGGATTGCACTAGTGATGAATTGTGTTACTTCGGTAACATATTCTCTTGTTGTAAATGGTGGTATAACTGACACTTTCAAACTAGAAAGAGGACTCCACCAAGGGAATTCCCTCTCTCCATAACTTTTTTTGATGTGTACAGAAGGACAAACAGCAATTTTCAATAATAAGCAGGAGCAGGGATTGTTACACTGGGTGAGGGCAAGTAGATCTGGTCCGAGAGTTAATCATCTTTTCTTTGCTGACGACAGCCTACTGTAAGCTATGGCCAACAAAAGCAAAAGCGAAAAGGTGAAGCACATGCTACAGAGATATGAAGACTACTTAGGACAACAGATAAACTTTTAGAAATCGGCTTTATATTTCAACAAAAAAACATGGAGGATGTACAAAAGCAAGAGATAGAAGATATATTCGGCATTCAATCAACGATCAATATGGAGAAATACCTGGGACTTCCATCCATGGTGGGGAGAGACGAGAATAACTTTTAAGGAGCTAAAGGACAAGATTAACTCAAGACTAAGTGGTTGGAGCTATAGAGCCTTGTCGCAAGGGGGGAAAGAAGTTTTTATCAAAGCTGTTCTCCAAGCCATCCCCACATACACAATGAGCTACCAGCCTCATTGTGTAACGAGATAAATAGCTAATTGAGCAACTATTGGTGGGGACAAAAAACGGACAAAAAAGGGATACACTGGATTCAACGGAAACATTTATGCATGCCGAAGGGAGAGGGAGGAATGGGCTTCAGAGACATGGGAATATTCAACAAAGCACTCCTCGCCAAACAAGGTTGGAGGCTACTGACAAAGACTAGAAATTTACTACATAGGGTATTGGAGGCCAAGTATATGCTTGGAAGATCTTTTTTGGAAGCCAAATTTGGCACGTATCCTTCCCTAACGTGGAGAAGTGTATGAACCACCAAAGTTATCCTCCAACAAAGTGTTCGGTGCAGAATAGGAGATGGGAGGACCATACGCATATGGAAAGATAATTGGATACCTTTTAATGCAAATTTCAGCTCAAATTTGTTAAGAGGGAGATGGGATGAAGATGAAAGGGTTGTAGCCCTGGTGGACAAACACTCACGATGATATGGAATTGGGCAGCGCTCCAAGAACGATTTTCTGTCAAGGTGGCTGAAGCAGTGTGTACCATTCCGCTCAGCAAAATTGGCGTTCCATATAGAATGATATGGAAGCTTGAAAATTATGGTGTGTTTACTATTAGGAGCACTTACAGAATGATGTGTAATTCAACAGTAGCAAACGGTAGGAATGGAGAGTCGAGCCAACAGGGATAGGAAGTGAACACATTATGGACTAGAATATGGTGAGCACAGGTGCCAACAAAAAGGAAAGTGTTCATGTGGAGAACATGCAAAGAGATTCTTCCTGTAATGTAGAACCTTTTAAGCGGAAATTGCAAGTTAATATATGCCCCAGATGTGGAGGTGACGAGGAAACAGTGGCCTATGCAGTCTTCGAATGCAATCTAGCTAGAGAGGTTTGGAGGTATCTAGGCTTCAAATGGGATGATGGTGCGAGGGAAAATATGCATTTGCAAAACTGGGTAGGGAAAATATTGGATGACCTGTTTGAGGAGCGGAGACAGTTGATGATCATTACTGCCTGGATGATCTGGAAAGATAGGAATAGTGAAGTGCTTGGTGAGCAAAGAAAGAACTCCACCATGACAACAAGCTTTGCTAAACAATACCATCAAGACTTTAACAATGCTCAACAGCGATCTTCGAGTTTGCAAAACAAGGAAACAGAAATGGGAACCTCCTCCGAGAGGTATCTACAAAATTAGTTTCGACGGAGCAATCAATGCAGCTCAGAAGAGAGGAGGTGTTAGAGTGATAATAGAAGATTCTGATTATGGGAGCTCATTCAAATAGCTAGCCATGGTAATATACCCTTCATCTATAGAGGCTATTAGGGCGGTGCGTGCAGTGGATCTCGCAAAGAAAATGGGGCTTGAAAAGGTGATATTAGAAAGAGATAGCCAAATAATAAAGTCTAAACTCAAAGCGACAGACCCGGACTTCTCCCCTGTTGGAACACTGATAGAGGAAGTGCGAACAAAGCTTCAGCAATTTCGCAATATTAGGATCATCCATACAATCAGAGAAAGCAACAGAGCAACACATTGTCTTGCTAAACTAGGGATAGGTTTGCATCAAAGTACTACCTGGGTAGAGGATTGTCTCGTTCAAGTCCACATGTTGTTAATTCTGATGTAAGTCATGTTTATGAATGGAAGTATTTCTTTTCTCGTAAAAAAAATTATTTATTCTAATATTTTAAAAATATTTAAAATAATTTATCTAAAATATAAACATTATTACTTAAATAATAATAATAATAATAATAATTATTATTATTATTAAAATTTAATGTTAAAGTTTTAAAATATTTATCCTAATAAAATAGTACTATTTATATTGAAAATATTTATTAATAAATTGTAGAGTTGTATTATTCATTTATATTTACTATAGAAATAGTGATATACAAACATTTGTCATTAAAATATTAATAATTTTATATCTTTTAAATTTGAAAATATTAAGAAATAATTTAAAATATTCAAATTATTAAAAAATTATTATTAAATTAATAATATTGTTATATTAAGTAATATTCATTATTAAAATAAAATATTGTTTATCATATTAATATTTATTATTTATATTGAAAATATTTGTATAGTACTATTTACTATTAAAATATTGAATAAAAATACTTTATTATTAAAATATTAAAATATTTTAATAATAAAGTATTTTTTAAAGAATTATTATAACTATTTATTATTAAAATATTCAAAATATTCAAAATGAAGACATTTAAAATTAAAATATTAAAATAATTTTATATTAATATTTTTTAATTAAAATAAATAAAAATAATTTTTATTAATATAATAATATTTCGAATCGTATGAAGTAAAATTTGAGCTGTAGGTCCAGCTAAAGTCGAATTAATTTTACGGACTTTGAAAATAGTCTTACTTAATAGTTTTTTAAAAAATTATTCCTCTTTTGAAAAGGGGAGGCAATATTAAAATATCATATATATTTTTTATTAATCAATAAATCATTTTTATGTTAATTAATAATTTTTTATAAACAAATATTAAAAATTATAAAATTATTTTTTGAAAGTCAAGCACGAAGTCATTGCATTGCATTTTCAATCATTCTAGTCCCATTATGAAAATCTTTGGTATGAATAAATTTATAATTGTGTCTTTGTCCTTACAAGTTATTAGTAGGTTATGTTAGATATTAATATTGGTTTTCTTCTTACGGTTAAGGGAAATCATCAAAATGAGATGGCCATTGACCAAACCATATCAAGGGTCTGGAATGCTTTTTTTTTTTCTTGTATTGTAAGAGTAGCTGCGAAGAGTCAAACTTAAAGTTCTCTTATTTTCAAATTTTCGAGATATTCAAGTATGATATCTTAAAAAAAAAAAAAACCAATTGACTTTTGATTAGTTATAATAAAGTAATTTTGTATTTGAATTCATGTGACTATGATTTAGGTACAAAGGCATTCCATATCCTAGGTCTTTACGGGAAATTTTTTAAATAAAGTTTATAAATTTTTTATTTATAAATGATTTAATAAAATTTTAATAAAATATTCAAATCAATATATTGATAAAATTTAATATAAAAATCAATAATATGTAAAAAATTATTAAAAAATTATTTATAATTTAAATTTGATTGATATTTATTTAACGATAAAAATTTTATTAATATTGTTATTAAAAATATCTATTTAAATATATATATTTTGCAAATTTTTTTAAATTTTACACACTTAATTTATATAACGAAATCTTTTAATTTATCAATTTTAATTTTAATTTTTAATTTTTATTTAATTATTTTTAATAAAAAATTTTACAAACTTCATATAAGAAATTTTATTTAAATCTTTCTCTGTCCACGTGGGCCAAAGCACATGCATTCCATCTTAACTTTCGCTTCAATTCTTTGCTATACAGGCCTCTCCTCCGTCTTATAGCACTCTCTCTCAGTTTCTCTCCAATGGAGGCAAAGGCAATGGGAATTGAAACTCAAAAAAGCCTAAATTGTGCTAAGCTTTCAAGTTCCCATTCTCTTTTATCTCATCTCTTTCATGCTGTGTCCTTCGTTATTGGCTTGTCCCTAGGAATCACTGTTGGTTTCGAATCCCGTACATATATAGCTCATCTCTTTTTGTTTTCATCCCGGCAACCCTTATCATCACCACCGCCACTACCACCATCACAACTGCTACCACAACCACCAACACCCTTCATGCCACCGCCGCCTCCACTACCATCATCCCCATATATTGAATCAAAAATACTGCTGCCCCTGATGCACAACATGGATGATGATGTGTTGTTTTGGCGAGCATCGTTTGTTCCGAGAGTTGAAGAATTTCCATTTGAGAATGTCCCTAAAATTGCTTTCATGTTCTTGACAAAGGGAGCTATACCTTTGAGTCCCTTGTGGGAAATGTTCTTCAAAGGACATGAGGGGCTTTACACCATATATGTTCACACTCATCCCTTTTACAATGATTCGGTGGCGGAGGACTCTGTTTTTTATGGAAGAAGAATTCCAAGCAAGGTTCGTTCTCATATAATTCCTATTTCCTACGACAATATCATCAATATATGATTGTGTTCATCCTTTTCTATGATCATATTTCTTTAATTTTTTAGGTAAAGGGTAAAAAAATGGAATATCTAAATAAGAATTTAATGATCATTCAAACCCTTAGAGTTTATCATTTTATTATAATTAATTAAACTCTTAAATATTTATGTTTATCAATTAAGTTTTTATTAGATGAAAATTGATTAACTACCAATATAAATTTTTGTCTAGTAGACGGTTTAAATAAGATAAAAATAAATATTTAAGAGTTTAACGAATCCGAAATATAAAATTAAAGTTAAATTAATTGAAATAAAATATTATAAACTTAAATGATTATTAAATTTTTATTTAAGGATATTTTAAACTTTTTTTTTATTTTTTATTTTCAAGCTAACATTTTAACAATGAATGAGTTAAAAAAGACTTAAAGAGGTAAATTTGATTTCCTAAACGTTAATTACGGTTAAAAAAATTAGCGAATGAAAAAAAAAATTACTTGGAGACGTATAGAGCATTTAAAAAACAATTCATAGGTTTCTAAAATACAACTAAAAACTCCAAGCACAATAGTGAAAATGATTTTATGGAAGAGTTTTTCATCTGGTTGATGAAAACGCATGTCTTTTTATAAGAAAACTCCTAATGAATAAACGCAGTATTTTAATACGATGGACGAATATAACTTTTCATAATCTATATTTCAATGTATGAAAACTAGTTGGAATAGTTTGTACTTAATCCATCAAAATCATTTCAAAGAACTTGTCTTATCTAATTTAAAATAATAAAATCCACCAATATTTTAAGTTAGATGTCTATAATTGATTTTTTTTTCTAAGTACTAATAATTGAATTTACCAATAATTTTGTCTTAATATTATTTATAAGAGACGTAATCTAGGGTTCGGAGTAACCTTGTTGCTTCTGATAGTTTGACCAAAAAACAAATTAGTCTAGCCTTGACCAAAGAAATTGGTTGAGTACCAGAAAAAAAATGCCTTTTTTTTTTTTTTTTTTTTTGGGAATGAACTAAAATGCTTCTTTGAACGCAAGAGCCAACGGCTTCCACTGTAACCCACTTCAGAAATAAATCAATGATGAATAGATACGTTGAACGTGTGACACATGCAGTAAATATTGTGACTAAATTGTTATAACTTGACTAATTCGTGTGGGAAAAGATCTTTTTCATCACTTAAAAAATAGTGAAATTTTTCATTATTTAATTTAAGAGTGTTTAATGTATTTTTAATTAAATTTATGGTTGATCCATACTTTAGTTATTAAAAGCTTTTACGTTAAAGTTTCCCATGGATCTTCTTTTCTCTAAAGAAAAATATAAGGTTTTGAACTTGGATAAAAAAAAAAATAGTTCATTTTAAGATCTATATATCAAAGAAAAACTATAAAAGAATAAATTGCTTATAGCCATCTAATTGCTTGATAGCTAGGCAAAGGTGTGTTCTTTTTTAATGTTTTAAGGGCGTAAATCTGTCCATGGGTTTGCAGTGGAGCCTTGAACATGAAGTTTTAGTTTTTATTTAATTTTAATTTAAGTTATATTTAAAAATGTAAAAATTATATTTAAAAATTTTTAATAATAAAATTTTAAAAAAGAGCTTACATTGATTTTTTTAAGCAAACTTATTAAGTTTTGAGCTCGTATTTTGAAATGTTAATCAATTTGATTAAACTCATGAATATTTTTAGGCATAAATAAATATAAACTTAACAGGTAAGCATTTTTTTTATAAAAAAAATTGTAATTTAAATATAATATATGATTTGAATTTTAAATTTGTTAAATGTTCATTGTATAAATTAATTAAATTAAATTTTGGATTTAATAAGTAAGTAACTTTAATAATTAGTTTTTTTTTTTTCCAGAAATATGTTAAATGATTGGCAATCATAGTGCGTGCAAGTAATATCTCACAATCGGACTAGTGGAGTAATACATTTTGGGACTATATAACAATTTTCTTTGTTAATCCATAGCAGCCCGTAGAGTGGGGAAAGCCGACAATGATTGATGCAGAGAGACGGCTTTTAGCGAACGCTCTCCTCGATTTCACAAACCAGAGATTCGTGTTACTCTCGGAGACTTGCATTCCTTTATTCAACTTTACAACAACATATAATTACCTCATCAACTCAAATCAAAGCTATGTAGGTTCCTATGACGATCCAAGGAAGGTAGGGCGTGGCAGATACAATCCCAAAATGTTCCCATCGATTTCCATAGCTCAATGGCGTAAAGGCTCCCAGTGGTTTGAAGTTAGTCGCAGCCTTGCTCTCGAAATCATATCAGACAAAAAATACTACGAAATTTTTAGTCAATATTGCAACCCTCCTTGCTACATGGACGAGCATTACATACCAACTTTGATCAACATTCTTTTGCCAGAGCAAAACTCAAATAGGAGTGTGACTTGGGTTGATTGGTCCAAGGCTGGTCCCCACCCTGGAAAATTTGGGAGGGGAGCTATTTCTGAAGACCTTCTTAATAAAGCAAGGTTTGCTGGTAACTGCAGCTATAATGGGAATCTCAATACTTCCATGTGCTTCTTGTTTGCTAGGAAATTCCTGCCAAACTCATTGCAACCTTTGTTGGAGCTTTCAACTATGTTGTTTAGTTCTAATCAATCCATGATAAGAGTGTAGCACTCTGTTTGTAAGATTATTAGACTTTTAAAAATAAATTATTTTAATAATTAACTAAATTTAAATATACTTATTAATACTTATTTTTAAGGATCCGATTATTTTTAATTTTACTCATTAATAGGATATCATTATATTAATAATTAATTGAAAGTTACACACTCTCAATGCATCAAATGTCCTCTCCACCTCAAATCCCATATCTTAATACTTACTTAACAAAGAGGAAATTGCTTGTATAAATTGTTTTGAATCCGCAATCCTTAAGTGTTCACTTCAATGACATTCCAATTGATTCAAATATCAATGGATAAGACTTGAATATATTTAACTCGATAATAAATGCATGAATCAATTAAAAAAATTCAATTGGAATCTTTAAAAAAAAATATTGAATTGTAAAATTTAGTATTAACTAATAACTATGTAAACATTAAATTGAATAATATAAAAATAATATAGACAGATTTAAAAAAAAAAAAAGAATTTAGGTTTAATACTTTGTTAATCAAACTATCAAGCATCAAATGCTTGATAGATCATTTGTTACTAAGGATGCCAACCGTAGCAGGAATTGCACAAGCGCCTATATTCACTATTTCTTTTTTTTTAATATCTCAAGCCTATATTAACTGATAATTGTTTCAAATTTTTTGAAAATTTAAATTCTGATTATTTACATGACTTTTTTCTGAGCATAAGAGAGAGTGTACACCACAGCTTCATCGTGCTTTATCCATTTCATTTTGGGTACAAGAAAGACCACTAAATCAATCGTAACTGTGTAATTTATTGGTAGAGTGTTTTACTTTTTAACTTCAGTGATTAAAATTCAATTCTTGATAGTCTTAATTACCAGAAAAAAAAAAACACTACTTAATATTCTAATTATCTTTATGATTGAGCTAAGTCCAATGGCATTGGCATGGTAGTTTGGTAGGGTGGTTTAGCACCAGATTTTGATGAAAGAAAGGAGCCATGGAGGTTGCTAGAAAATAGTGCTAGGAGTGTGGAGATGACATGGATGTATTCAGATGATTTTAATGAAATTCTTTATCAGAATGAGAAAGAGGGGGTAAACTTTATATCAACAAGGAAGATTAATGGTTTTAGAAAGTTTTTGGACTCGTGGGTTTATTGATTTGCATTATCAAGGACAGAGGAAAGAGATGATGGTTTGATAAAGGAAAGGATATATAGAGTTTTGGTAAATCTAGTATAGGTGGAAGATCTGCCAAGGACTTAGGTCAGGTTTTCAACTTGCCAATAATAGGATCCCATCACTCCCCAGTTTTGGTAGATTCCAATTATTGTGATCATAGAGGACCAAGGATGTTTTAAGTACGAAATTTTATGCACAACTATAGAAGAACGTGAGATGGTAATCCAGAAAGGCTGAGGGCTCAAATGCTTTTTAGTTAGTTTAGAAACTGAAAAGATGTAAAAGAATGCTTATAGAATGGAGTAAGAATGCTTTTCCAGATAATAGAAAGAATATTGATGGATTAATGGGGCAGATAGCTGAAATACAAAATAGGGATGTTTCCTGTCAGTGTTGTAAGGAAGTAAATGGTTTGATTAATGAGTTACATGAAATTTGGAAGAAAGAGGAGAGGAGATTTACTAGTAACAGAGGTTTACAATCAAATGGCAGAAATATGGTTATCAAAACACAAGGTTTTTTCATCAGAGCACTATACAAAGGAGAAACCAAAATAGGAATTTGTGTATAAAAGCAGAGGAGGGCACATGCACTCAAGGGGAGGTAGTCATTTGTAAAAAATGTGAAGGCTATCATAGGAGTTTATTTTCTACAAAATAGTAATAGGGTGTAGAGACATGTGTTGGAAGTTATACCAGAATTGGTGAACGATGAGATGAATAAGATGTTGACTGCTGCTGTTACTAAAGAAGAGGTTAGGCAAGCTGTGTTTCAACTAGGAGCAATGAAGGCACCTGGACCTGATGGCTTCAACGAGTATTCTATCAGACTTCTGCTATTTCACATACAAGACCATCAGGTATTAGTAAACAGAATGAAGCCATTTATGGGGAGCTGATAACACATTATCAAAGTGCCTTTGTACAGAACAGGCAGGTACAAGACAATATTCTGGTTGCAAATGAAGCTTTTCATCACTTGATGCTAAAGAAGAGAGGAAGAAAGTATGAGATGGATATGGATAAAGAATATGATTGGGTGGAGTGGGATTTTCTTGTGGCATTGTTATCAAGCTTGATTTTGACACAGAATGGCTAAGTTGGATGTGGAGTGCATTTTTCCTGTTTCCTATAATATAGTTGTCAATGGTAAGCAGTCAGACCCAATATATCCATCCTACAAGAGGTCTTAGGCAAGAGGATCTTTTATCTCCTTACCTTTTTCTTTTTAGTGCTGATGTCCTATCTAGAATGGTTAAAAGAGCTAGAGTCCAGGAGTCTTATAGGTGTTAAATTGAGTCAGGATTGTCCCATTCTTTCTTACCTTCTGTTTGTTGATGAATCTTTATTCTTTCTAGCTGACACTAACATAAATTGTGCAGCAATGTATAGCATTTTTCTTGCCTATTGTAGTGCTTCATGACAGCTTCTTAATTTGGATAAATCCACCGGGAAAACAGGGGAGGGAAATTGGAGGGTGTTGCCGATTATAAAAGATATCTGGGCAAAATAATAATAATAATAAGTTTGGAAGGTTCAACGTTAAGTGGATCCACAGATGTAAAGAAAGCTGCAAATTGGGCTGCTATGAATCAAAGAGGAGGCTGAGTGTCATGAGCCAACCTTATATAGGGCCATGATCGGGGCTTAGGTTGTCATGAGCCACTCATGTATAAGGCCATGACTGGGTAGAGGTGCCAAGGGGAGAGAATAGATTTCTTGTGTTAGGAAAAATGTTCCCATTTCAAACATTGTAACGGTTAGTGGTAGTATAGCTCTAAAATCTCTTAGGCTCTTTAGGGGGGTGAGCAGTCAGTATATTGTTGGGTTGTCTTACTAGTTAGGGTACGGACATAGGCCACCTGTTAAGGGCTACCCCCTAGCGCCGATGATGGTGTGAAGTCTCGATGTACTATTCTTAATAATAATAAAATACGTCTTTTATTTGAAAGTCTCGAGTGTTATCTCGATGTGTTTTTCGTTCTCTCGATATGAATGTGTCTTTTGTGTATGCTTGAGATTAATTGTGACTTATGGTTGTTTGTTCAGATATCGAGCTATCGTTGGCTGACTTGGGTGCGAGCGTCTATTCAAGTGCCACACGGTCTATCGCTTGTTGAGAGAAAGCTTAGCCCGTGGCACGTGGTATTAGAGCACAGTGTGAAGTGGTAGAGAATTGAAGAAATGGCCACGAATGGTGGTGTCAACCATCAACAGAGAATTGAGGAGCTTGAGGCCGCGGTGGCCGCTTTGAAAGCTCATGTGGTTACGAACGATCATCTGAGGGAGATTGAGACAACCCCATTGGAGTTGTCCGATACTCTACATAGCTTGAGTGAAGAGGCTAGAGATGCCTTGAATGTCCTCCAAAAAGAGTTTGAGGAGCTCAGGGCCCAAGTGGGCGTCTTACAGGTGGCGGTGGCTAGATCGAGTTCTAGCTCGATGGAAAGGGGAAAAAGGGCCAAGGCGCTAGAGCCCCGATGCTATGAGGGGGCAAGAGATGCCAAAAAGCTTGAGAACTTCCTATTTGACATGGAGCAATACTTTCAAGCCGTGCGTAATGAATAAGAGGAAAACAAGGTGGCAATGGCATCAATGTACCTTACGAGGGATGCCAAGCTTTGGTGGCATTCAAAATTTGTAAATGATGAATGCCTTATCAAAACTTGGGTGGACCTGAAGCAGGAATTGAAAAACCAGTTCTTTCCTAAGAACTTAGAGTATATAGCTCGAAGAAAGCTTCGAGAGTTGGTGTAAACGAAAACAGTGCAGGAGTTTATAAAGAGCTTTTTTACCCTAATGTTGGACATTAGAGACATGTCTGAAAAAGGATAAAATGTTCTATTTTTTTAAGGGCCTCAAACCATGGTCCAGGACAGAACTACATAGGCAAAAGGTGCAAGATGTGGCTACGGCCATGGCTACAGTCGAACGCCTTCATGACTACAATAATGGCTCCTCAAAACGAAAAAAATCCTCTATTAGGTGGCAGTAACTCCATCTTTGGGAGTGGTGAAAAGATGGCCAGAGTGGACCGACCTTTCAGTGGGGGATCGGATAAGAGGCCCTTTGGTCGAGACAACTCCCAACCCAGAGCAAACAACGTAACAAGTTTTAGGCCTAGGCAACCGTTAGCTTGTTTCCTATGCAAGGGCAGCATCGAGTGGTTGAGTGCCCGCATAGGGGGGCCCTTAATGTTTTGAGAGCCTCATCCCAAGATTCCATAAAAGTGCCTGAGATAATCGAAGAAATTTAAGAAGAACCGATTAGGATGGGCTCTATACGGTTTCTAAATACCTTCCATACCCAGCTTAACATGATAAAGAAAGAATCGAGTAGAGGCTTGATGTATGTAAACCTGGTACTCAATGAGAAGATCATAAGGGCTATGATCGATACGGGTGCAACCGATACCTTCATCACACCCGAAGAAGTAAAAAAATATAGTCTCAAGGTGAACAAGGACTACGGGTAAATGAAAACGATCAACTCACCAGCCTTCGCAATCAGTGGAAGCTCCAAAAATGTGATGACCAAGTTGGGGCCATGGGAAGAAAAAGTAGACATCACAGTTTCCCCTATGGATGACTTTGATGTTGTCCTCAATTGGACTTTATGATGTTGGCTCAAGCGATACCAATCTTCGCCGCTAGTTGTCTATTGTTCTTAGGGGAGCAACCCTATGTGGTGCAAGCCACAATCTTGCTGAATAATGGAAAGAAGATGATCTCAGTACTACAATTCAAGAAAGGGATAAAAAGAGGGGAGCCCTCTTATGTGGCGATGCCGATCTACAAGGATGGGATGGAGTTAGATCCAATACCCAAGAGGGTAAAAAG